TGCCCTCTGTGTACTTCGCTAAAATTCCGGACTGTTCGCTGGCAGCTATGGATGCGTGCGCCGGCCTATAGATTCGGCGCACGGAACCATAGCTGGCAGCACTGCATACTGTCGTAGGACGTTGCTGCAGTCGCGTGCGCCTTGCCGCGGAACTGCGCGCAAGATTTCCGCTCAGCGGTTAGGATCAACACCTCCTTTCGGCAACACTTCTCTGGTATCCCGTCTCATCTGGATCATATTCATAGATGTAGTGTTGCAGGGGTGTGTCACTGTGTGAGTGTGACCATGAAATGAATGTATCATGCATGACTATTCATTCAAAACATGCATGTAGTCACTATAGATTTTGGGGGAGATATATATATATATACAAAATTGGCAACTACGTACACTGTGGCAAAATTTGTACAACATGGAGTAGATGTACAACATCTGCAAATTTAAAGGGATACATGAGCCTCGCGACTCATTGCATATTTTCAGTTAAAACAGGTTTAAATTACGCTACATACAAAATTTCATTGTTTGATATTTGAATTTGAAATTTTTTTTAATGTTTTAAAACCAACGGCGGCTGTATTGTTGTTTACAACGACGATGATGCCACTACTAGCCCGTCTACTTTCAAAGTTGTACATGGCAACTTTTTGGTTGCAAACTACAGACTGAGGGTGTTTCTTATTTATTAATTTAAGAGGAGAAGGAGAATCTTATCAACAACTTTTAGGTTCAGTTTTAATATAGACGAATTTAACCTAAAACAAAAATCGTTTGGTTAAATAGAAGCTAGGTATAAATATAATTGTAGTTTTGTGATGACCCCTTGGTCTGTAACGTGCAAAATAAATTGGGGGGGAGGGAAGCGTGAATTTATCACTGTGGCAGCATGCACAATTGCAAGATGTCATGGCAGCGGCCAAAAATAAAGATTTCCAAACTCTGCTTTGTTATGACAAATGTGAATGCATGATTATAGAAATTTGTATGTATATACTATTATTTATGCACTTGCTAACATAATATATACCTAAAATTCTAGTAGGGTGTAGTATATCCTTTTACCCGAAGTTGTGATGAAACAAGCTACAAGTAACTTTCTCGCTTCTTACTACATAATATGTGACATGAATCAGTCGTAGAGCCTGATCGTGCTAGGCTGAAACCAGAGTTAATGGGCCCACATATAAGAATCTTATCCATAACCTTAACCCCCCTCCCATTCCTAACTGATAATCTTAACCTAATCATGAGTCGCATGGTACCATAGTAGGATTTAATCTGCAAGTGTCAAATATGTATATATTTGTCTTAGTTGTGCATATTTCTTTATTTACATAGACCATTCGTAGTGCTGTGCTGGTGGACCACCAACAGGGATTGCCCGTTTACTAAAGAGAAGAACGGTGGACTCCATTTACCGTACCTGCTAGAGAAAACAGTAATGAGTTCATCTGTTTGCGGAGACCCCCTGTCCCATGGAGACAGTGGAGTCAAGCAACCTTTATCAGCAACCTCGGGAGATGTCAACAATATGACAGGAAACTCTTACACATGTACGATTTCTGTTTTGTATTAGCACTCCAAATATCTTAATTACTCATCTAAATTACTACTACTACTAATGTAATTTATATGAACTTACCTGATGCCATCATCATTGTTTTTATGTCAATCTTTGGCAAGAACTTCTTATTTCTTTACTGAAATATGTTAAGTTTAACATATATACATTGTTGGGCCTGCATGCCAGTCCAATATTTCTGTTTTGAACATCAGAATATCGCTCTGTTCTTGTATACTTCATTTTAAAATGCCGGAACCCTGTCGGACATTTTGGTTTGAAACTAAATCTCTCTCTCAATATGTGTATTATGTTCAACATTCATCCCAGCCAATCATTTCTGTGTTGAAACTAAATCCTCCTTCCTCTGCGTGTATCACATTAAAACCTGCGTGCAAGCGCAACATTTCTGTGTTGGAAACAAATCTCCCTGCTTCTGCATGGTACTATGTTAAACCTGCATCCCAGCCAAACGTTTCTGCGTTGAAAACAAATTCTTGTTGTGCCTGTATCTTGTTAAACCTGCATCCCAGTCAAACATTTCCGTGTTGAAACCAAATTTCTCACTCTGCATGTACCTTTTTCCACCTGTATCTCAAGAAAAAAAATTTATGTTGGAAACAAATCTTTCTGCTTCTGCAGGTACTATGTTAAACCTGTATCACAAGCGAATGTTTCAGTGTTGGAACCAAATCTCTCGCTCTGCATGTACCTTTTTAAACCTGTATCGTAAGCAAAAATTTTCATGTTGAAAACAAATATCTAGTTCTGCATGTACAGTTTATACGCTGTATCGCAAGCGAATGTTTCCGTGTTAAAAGCTAATCTCTCACTCTGCATGTAGCTTTTTTTTTAAACCTGTATCGCAAGCGAACGTTTCCGTGTTGAAACCAAATCTCTCACTCTGTATGTACCTTTTTAAACCTGTATCGCAAGCGAATGTTTCCGTGTTAAAAGCTAATCTTTCACTCTGCATGTACCTTTTTAAACGCTGTGTCGCAAGCGAACGTTTCCGTGTTAAAACCAAATCTCTCACTTTGCGTGTAGCTGAACAGAGCGGCGAATGCGAGAAGCCATCGCCGGGTCTCAACATGGAGCATGGCTTCGTGAAGAAGATTGAGCGGATGCAGCTGACGCGCGACAGCCAGCACTGCGAGGATGAGAAGCAGGCAAAGTCGGAGGCGACGAAGATGGCGAGGCGGGTCGGCTTCATGCCGAAGTCGGCCAAACCGACGATGGCGCTTTACAGGCCTCCTGGTAGGTGGCGCTGCACACGGCTCTTGTGTGCATGGTCTGATGGTCGTGCTTAGTCAACTGTGAATGCTGCATGTTAGATGTTGGTCTTAGACCATCTTTAAGAGCTTTCCTATTGTGTGTGGCATGGCTGAGTCATCAATTACACTGGTTGTTAATTAGACAATTAGACCTTTATGTACGTGCGTGCGTGCGTGCGTGCGTGCGCGTGTGTGTGTGGCTGTGTGCAGGGTTCTCCCCAGGATGAAATTCAAACAGGCGGGAGGGGAGGGGGAAGGGGGAGGGGGGGGAACTAGGGAGGCGTGTTTGTTTACCGTACCACTAATTAATGCGTAAAATCACCACCACACCATAGACGGTATTTGGGGTTCTTGTATATATAAGATAGCCGAGTCGGTGTACAGTTAGTGTTGGGTGTGGGACAGGTTGACTGTTTGTACTTGTGTATTGTCTGCAGTGCATGCGTTGTACTGTAAAAATACACGCGCCTGGTGTCCTGGTCGAATTGTACTTCTTGACAATCGATTTCCGCGCTGGCAAACTTTTATTGTGGTGGAATTTAATCGGGGCGGAGGTAATTTAAACGGGGCGCAACGATTTAAACAGGGGGGAGTTTTCCCAAACGGGGCGCGCGCGCCCCGTTTGCGCAACGTAGGGAGAACCCTGGTGTGCAGTGTGCAGTGAATGAAGGAAACATTACTTTTATGGGTGGCTTATGTAGAACATGGTAGTGTTGATGTGTGCTGATGCTTTATGCACACTTTTGTAAATTGATCTAGTTGTATTCTACTTATTTAAAAGTTAGTAATTAAAAGTAACCTCATATTTGAACCATAATAGGTAGTTATAAAAGTGTATAGACCATCATATACTTCCAAATCATACTAGCTTATACCATGTGTTTGCTACATTGTGCTAGCATCGTTTAACCTACCGTTGCATCGTGTAGCCGCTTTCAACAAACGGCCATATTGTGTAATTGTTGCTCGCATTGCATGAGAGTTACTGCTGAAGCATGCCTCGTAAATACTTGTCATGTTAGCAGCTCTACACAACCTGCTCCTAGTCCTATGTTGTACATAATATTAACCTGCTCATACATTGCATGTAATAGCAACCTGCATCTACGTTGCATATAATAGCAGCCTGCTTCTACATTGTGTATAATACTGCTCATAGGGTCTATGTCCCCCAGGGTACTGCTGGAACGTACCCTGGTAACTATTTGATATGGTTCGGGTTAGGGTTAGGGAGTAGGCGTAGGCGACTCCCTAGACTCGTTAGTGGAGTAGGCGAGGTACGGTGCGGCATATTAGATAGTACCAGGGTACGTTCCAGCAGTACCCTGGGGGACATAGACCCTCTCAGCTATAATACTAGCAGCCTGTTCCTGCATTGCATATAATAGCAGTCTGCTTCTACATTGTAGATAACAACAGCCTGGTTCTACATTGTGCATAGTAGCAGCTTTCTTTAACTGTAGTATGGCTCCCACTGCATGTTTGTTTAGCTGTTAGAGTGCTGGAGCAGCATGGTGAGCTTCATGTGCAAGCGCTGTGCAGGCATGCAGCGTACTGCAGCACAGCACAGGGCAGCAGCAAGACGCTGCGCCGACATCTCACGTTAGTCGCGAGAGACTGCGAGTCAGCCGATCATGCTGGCTTTGCAGCTCTCTCAGTTGCAGGTACGCGCAATGTGGTAGTGTTTGTGCATGACACGCACATTCACACTGCGTTTCTTTCTACGCTTGTGTTCTGCGCCGCGTGTTAGCGTGAGCGTCGTGACGTGCACCCTTGAATTTTATTGAAGAAAAAGTGCATCAGAACATTTTTTTGACTATGAGTGGGAGTAAACTCTTCCATTTTTAAAAGATTGTTGTAAACATCTTGTTTGTAGGAGGCAGAGTGAAACGATGTTACTTTGGTTAAAGAATCGTTTTAATTGTATGCTGGATGTCTGATTATCACGTTGCGGCTGGCTTCAGTATATTGCGCATGGGTTCAGTATTGATTTCCCGCAGGCCTGCGATCCGACAAGGAAGCTGCACACGATAAGATTGAACTGTCCACCAGCACAGCACACGGCGACGAAATGAAAGAAACAAAAGCGACCTCTCCCGTGCGTGAGGGAAGAATTGAAACGGAGCAGACGGACACAAAGTCTGCCAGAAAACGAGAGGCGCCGCAAGGTAGTTGTTTACGTTGCGTTCGTGCTTCAGGGCCTCATTTTTTACCCGCTGATTATTTATTTAACTGACATGCATGCGTAAGTATTATGATTACACTATTTGTGCAGTGGTTTCAGGTTGTAAAACAAATAGTCTTGCGTCTGTGCTAGTGATGGGAATCGGTTGGAATTTCATCATTGATCATCGGTTTCACCCAACCGATCGATGATCGAAGATAATCGGTTGAATGTTATTGATCGCGGCCACTAGATATTGAAATGTATCATATATCATAGAATACAGTATTTTTTATAATACCATATTCTAAAAACTATACACAATATTATACTTGCTTATGTATGGTTTAGGTTAGATTTACTGTCTCACAAACATGAAATTCACACAACGTTTATTTTTTCGTGCCGGCATGCTCATTGTGTGTCATTACCGATTGCAGCTTTTTTCTCAATTCCATGAAAGAGTTGCTTTCACTCTCCCATCACAGCAATGTCCACCCCCTACATATTGAGTAATGAACATGCCCCATGCCACTTAAACAATCGTGCACCTCTCCCCTACTTCAATTAATGCCGCCCCTGCCAGTACTGCACGCACACAGCCAGGCTGGCATTCTATTTATAAATCTGGGTGTCGTGGGCTGCTTTTTTCGGCGACCTTTGAAAATATAATGTGAGAATGTCGTGGGATAGCGCCCTGGCTCAAAGGATGTTAGGAATAATTGCCATTTGAGTCAATAAACTTCTGAACAAACACTGTGAGTACAGTTGTCTATTTTCTTAATCGAGTGCTTAGTCGGTTGCTGCAAACGACCGACTTTCGATTATAATCGATCATCGGGACGTCACTAGTCTGTGCAGCTCCTACTTTCTGTGTTCAGTCACGACGAGCGATAAATTATTTAGACGTTTTTTTCGTCGTCGTATTTTTACGTGGCGAGGAATTCACGGGGTTAACTTTCCCGCGTCGCGTGCGGCATCGCAGCAGCGCTTGCTTACGATGCCCGATTCGGTTTTTGACAGGCAGCCCCGAAAAAAGCGAAGAAAAGGAAGCCGTGGAGGAAACCCAGGACGTGACCTTGGACATGAAAGAGGTTGACATTGCCGGGTTTGGTGAAGAGGCTCGCCCGTTCCTGCAGCAGTCGATTCTGGGTTGGTTTATGATGCAGGCGGGAGAACGTAGCCGGGGAAATCGAAGCCTGCCAACAAATGTCCATCGTCCACGCTTTGTGTAGCCCGCTCGATTGTGAATTTAGTCTCGAGGGATAGCTAACCTGTCTAATAGCATCACGTAACTGCATCCAGTTGCTGATCATGAGCTATGTCTCTTGCTGTTATTGGTGCACTTGTAGATATTCAGTCGATCAACCTTCAGTTATTTGTTAATGGCATCGTTAATAAATGTTAATAGCATCTCGCCGTGTCAAAACTGATTCGTGTTTATCGAGATTTGCTAATCAACTCAATAAATTTATCATCGCCTATCGTAATGATGGCAATCGTTAGCATGTAGTAACAGGATGTCTGTGTCCTCTTCGTAGATCCATGTTCGCTGAATTCGTACTACTTGGCCGAGGTTGCCAAGGTGATCTGTAACAGGGCGATGGATGATCGAAGCTACTGCCAGGTAGCCGGAAAGATATTCAGGACGGTGATAAAGGTGAGACTGATAATGGGTGAACCACGATGTGCTGCTCTCATTTGCCACACATCCTCTCATCACACCGCGACATTGCTGATTGTGTCGGTTGTGACCAATAGTGCCTAGTAGACACGTATCTGTATCTTAATGCTTGTTAACTTGAGTGATGTGGCCGATCATTTGCGTGCAACGAAATCGTCAGGAAAAATTGAGGGATCGTGCAAACTTATTTACGTGTCGCCGTGAAGCGTCAGTCAACAGCACTAGTAGTTCAAACTGATGTGTTAAAAGTCGAGCACTAAACTTGAGCCTTGGCATTGAATGACGAGATGGCGTCCTGTCAGAAACCTTTTGCTGCACAGTTCTCCCGTGATTCTATTTGAAAGATTTTAGGGCAAGGCAAGTATTGTCTTGGATTTAATCGAAGTGATTTTTGGCACTGCAGCAATTTGGATGGCCACCAAGGCAAAACCTACTGACCAAGGAAATTTTTATCAACACTATCTGGGATGAAGAGGGATACATACACAGACCTGCCAACTGTTACGTATTGCCCGTAATTTGTTACGGACGCGAGTCAAAATTACGGTGTTACGGGCGACCTCGAAAAATTACGGACAGCAAGAAATCTCTGAAATTTATATTTTTTAATGCACAAAAAAGAAATAAACACAGTGTAAAATCAACTATTATCATGTAACATGACTACTGTGTCTGTAGATTTAGACTAATAGCTCTTAAAACGTAACGGTACTCACTGAAAATGGGAAATTATGCTGTGTTATGCGCTCGTCTGTCTGGTTTATGGGCGCAGCCATTTTGAATTGACGTCACGGATCCAGGAATAGTAGTACCGCACTGAAGGCTGATAAGTCATAAGACTATCAGTGTGTGTGTGTGTGTGTGCGCGCACGCTTGTGTGTATGTGTGGAACTGCCAAATGACATCTTTATGCTAATTATGTTATTATTATACTGTAATAAGACTGACAAAAAGGTGTTACTGACAAATGCCTATTTGTTACGGAAAAATCCAATAATTATTACTGATGATCATCAGATGGGGTTGGCAGGTCTGCATACATAACATGGATTTTATAGGATATTATTTTATCATAGTTTTATTTGTATATGTTTGCGGTATGTAGGCAAGCCAGGTAGGGCAGCCACTGCAGTTTATTGCTGTGCATATCGGCCTGTTTTGTAGGAACTGTAGCTTGTAAGGTGGGCACTGACGGCACCAGCCATTAATGCTCTGGTGAAATTTAAACCCCTGGTTTTCCCTGTCTTTCAGAAAGAAGCCGAAACTTCGAAGGAAGCAACCTTCTTCACGGCGATGATGGGGGCGCTGCAGCTGCTCCACGGCCAGCGGGAGAGGATGAAAAAAGAGAGCGCCTTTGCGGTTTACATGTCCCTGCTGTGTGAAGTGTTCAGGTGAGGTGTGATGTGGAGCTCGAGGGCTTAACTGACATTAGTATTTTACTGACATTAGTATTAGTTGTTGACGTGTCGAGTGCTCGACCGCTTCATGAAATATTCTGCAGCATGTTTTTCTTTTTGTTTTGATGACGTTCAATCAATCAGGTTTGTGGCTTGTATTTTTTCATTATGTTTCTATCATTTCTGATGAATTTGGTAATGGTAGAAATAACTACTTACCCATGCTTGTGAAAAATTGATAAGTAATAAATTATAATTATATAATATACATGACTCTTACCAGTAAATTACATGTACGTTATATAGTACACTATTGACCAGCCCGTAGTGGTTGGTTACTATGACTAAGTGTAACTTAACACTACTATACAGTCCTTCTTCCCAGTAATTTCATGCTTTTAGCACGTAAAGTTGATACTTTTTCAGGTATGTGAGGCCAGTCAACCCTCAACTTGGGCCTATCACACAGCTGCTGTTCAGTTGTTTTCACGAGGTGATAATACCACCAGATGGCAACTACATCTGTGACGAGGTGAGTTGGGGGGGGGGGGACGTGCCACAATCAATCATGCAAAAATCTTGTGATCTGTCCATTTACCCGGCTCACATTGACCTAGAAAGTCATGGAAAATAGGCTATTATTATGTTTGATCACAGAATGTTCTTAAATTTAATTACCTGTCTATTTTGTCTTAGAGGCATTGAATTCGGCTCTTGCAAGAGTTTGTTCACTAATCGGTAATTGGACGGCACAGCGATTTCGTGTCAGCAGATGAAATCGTGCATATATGGAAAATTGTTGACCCCATTAAGTCCCGGACAACTGGAAAACTAAACATGTTTTGCTTTATGCATGAAAATCGGGGGTTTATCGATACCATCTTGTTCGCTCGCAAGCGTTATTTCGCAAGCGTTAGTCGGCGGAAGGTGTCATAACCGGGAGTTTTCCCGCCCTCTCCCTCCCCCTCAGCTCGACTGCATGTGCTACATGATTAAGACGACAATTGTTATAACCGGGAGTTTTCCCGCCCTCTCCCTCCTTCCCCGCAGCTCGACTGCATGTGCTACGTGATTAAGATGGAAATTGTCATAACCGGGAGTTTTCCCGGCCTCTCCCTCCCCCTCAGCTCGACTGCATGTGCTACATGATTAAGACGACAATTGTTATAACCGGGAGTTTTCCCGGCCTCTTCCTCCTTCCCTGCAGCTCGACTGCATGTGCTACGTGATTAAGATGGAAATTGTCATAACCGGGAGTTTTCCTGCCCTCTTCCTCCTTCCCCGCAGCTCGACTGCATGTGCTACGTGATTAAGATGGAAATTGTCATAACCGGGAGTTTTCCT